TAGCGTATGGTGGATACATTGCGAAGTTTTTGTCCGTAGAAACGATGTCTTTGCACTTTTTCGCAGTGTCCACCTCACATGATTCGCGAGACAGCTACCATTAGATAAATTGTTGCATTCTTCTGTCAATAGTTTAATCAAGATAAACCTTTATTCTGTATAATACAGAATAAAACCCCGCTTTAAAAGGGTTAATCATTTGAAAAAGTGTTGTTTTTAGTTTTTTTTTTTTTTTAATATTTGATACTTTTTTTTATTGAAGGGTCACAAATTGAACCAAACGCATCGATGAACGCTGCGTATGAACATGGGGCTTTGGAGGCGAGAGCGAAGCATCTTCGGCTCGAGAAGCAGCGCAATATGGCCAGCCAGCTGTCCAATAATCTCATGGAGCGCGTACGCTTAAATTTTCACAGAGCCTGACGAATAGACGGCTAGATCATTTCTTACCATTTTGTTTTTTAATCTTGCGTGCCACTGTGGTAGATGCAACGAGCTACACTTCATTGCCGAGGCGATGCAAAGAACCTGACGATGCCTCCAATTGAGCTGCTCTGTCAGGTAAGAAAAAGGGACCTTCTATTACGACAAATTAGATCGACATTTTGATAGTTTGGACCGATAGGATGCCAGAGGCTTGAAGACGAAACAAGAAGTTGACTTGCGTAACTTCACCTGTGTCTCCAATGAATGGCTGTTTGCTATTGCGTCACATCCGGCTGCAAGTGGTAAAGATCGAATCACTTTTGAAAGATACAACAAGGCAATATTTATTATTTTTATAAACAGGTTCTGGTACTTTTCGGACGCTTATACTGGCAGGAACGTCTATTACCGACAGCGGCATTGTACATCTGAGCAAACTCAAGTCTCTGACGAGTCTCGACGTCTCTGGGTACGCTAGAAACCACTTTTCCAGATTTGCTTTGGTAATTTATTGCAATGTATTTTATCTTCCTCAGTTGCCACGCACTGACCGATGCAGGCTTGAACACCATCCGACGTCAACTGAGCTCACTGCAGACATTGCACCTTGACGAATGTTATCATTTTTCCAGTGCTGTTCTCTGTAATGTTTGGAAAGATTGCAAGCGTCTTCACTCTCTATCTATTCGAGGGTGTCCAGGCGTCACCGACGCATTCTTGCAATGTCTAGCAACCACAAAGCGATCATCTGAGGCAAATCTTCGGTCACTAGATGCTCGCCAGTGCAAACATTTAACTTCGTCTGGAATTTCCTATCTCGCCAACTCTTCCTTGAAAGATATGAAAATAAATTACCTCGCTGTGGATGACTGTCTTGGTGTGGACAACGTGGCTTTCTTTGGGTTCGAGACGAGTCCGGGTCTTCGCTCCCTCTCATCATTGAGCTTGAGTGGACTTTGTGTCGACGAGACGGCGATAAGTTGGATCGTTAAAGGCTGCGGAGCGTCTTTACAGTGTCTCAACGTTGCACGATGTAAAGTATTATCGGATTTTGCCCTACTACTCATGGCTCCTTTGATCTCCTCGCCTCGGTTTATCAAACTCAACTTGCAAGAATGTCCCCTTATTACCAATACAGGCATCAAGAACCTCTTTTCTCTCGAGGAAGAGAAGAATCAAGACGACGATGAGATTTTACCAACGAGTTTGGCATTTCTAAATCTGAAAAACTGTTTAAATATTGGAGATGACGCCATGGTTTTAATTGGGAAATACGGTGGAAATCTGATCAAACTCAACCTGAAAGGGCTTCGAAAAGTGTCGGATCGAGGAATAATGGAACTCGCTAAAGGATGTCCGTTGCTGAAGAAAATGTCGCTTTCTGGGAGAAATATAACAGTACAAACGTTTAAATTACTCGGAAAATTGTGTCGGAAATTGCAAGTTTTGGACATTTCTAGGCGACGAGACCTAGAGTCTCCAGCGTGTTTTCTGCATCTTGTATCAAGAGTGCATCCACTGCTACGAATCGATTTGAGCGCCACAAACGTGTGTGATGCAGGAGTGACCTTACTGGCGTCTGCTTGTCGGCAATTGGAAAATATCAATTTGTCCAAGGTAAGATTTTTCGGAAATTAGTGTTAAAATTTAAAACTGATCTTTTTTGGGCTAAAATAGTGTGCTCAGATCACGGATTTTGCAGCTGAAGCGCTTGCTTCACGGTGTTTCCAGCTCAGAATTCTCCTCTTAGCCAACGCGCGTGGCATCACTGATAGGACTCTGACGGCACTGGCGTTCACAAAAATTCCGTTGGAAATTCTCGACTTGAGTGGCAACACACGCGTAACAGACGAAGGTCTTCTCGTATTGTGTAGCGGCTGTCAGCAGATCCAGGAATTGCGTCTTAAAGGCTGTGATCGACTATCTCAAAAAGTAGTCAAGTGCTGTAACGATAACCTCCTGCCTTTTACTAAGCCGTTTACTGCTGCTTCATTGGTTAAAACACTTGCTACGGGAGGTGGAAACTCGGCCATGGTGCTCGAACCATTGCCGAAAGTGCACATCGAGCTACTTCAGCTGCTACAGATGCAGTATGAAGCTGCTGTCGTCTTGCAGAATCGATTCCGCAAGTGGCAAAACAAGAATTTCACAATACATTTTCTTGCAAATCGTCGATTATTGCGTGAAACCAGAGCAGCTCGAAAAATTCAAAACTGCGTTCGAGATTTCTTGGCCTGGCGTCGCTTTCTACACCTGCTCTCTCTTAAGGAAAGTGTGGCTAAGATTGTGTTGGTACAAGCGCATGCTCGTGGTAACCGAGGTCGACGAGAATTTCGAACTTGGTGCTTTACTGCAAATTTTGCAGCTCGACGAATTCAAAAATTCTATCGACCACACTACATTTTTCGACAAAAAAATCGCAATTACAACGCTCGTGAAATTCAGCGAGTGTACCGTGGGTATCTTGGTCGTCAAAGATACCACCAACTTATCTACGAACGCAAACTTAAATGTGGAGGTAAAATTTGGCAATGGTATCGAAAATGCCTCAATTATCGAGAATTTCAAGCTCGATCTCGATGGCTAGTCAAGAAAATCTACAGCATTCAAGGCCAATGGCGCAAGTACAAACGTCGACAGAATTTCACCAAATACATGGCCTATTATCGCAATGCAGCTATCAAGATCCAGAGTGTGTGGAGGCAGAAATTGGCGATCAATCACGTGTCTTCCATGCGCTTAGAAATGAACGCTGCGGCGCTCACAATCCAGCGAGTTTTCCGAGGACATTTGGCTCGAATACGCGTCGCTTTTTACCGAACAATTGCCACAAATACCGCAATTGTGATTCAGTCACAATGGAGACGATGCCGGGCACGAAAGTTGTACTTGTATCGACGAAATTTGATTTTTCTCACTCAGAAAATGATCCGATATGCTCGAGTTGTGAGGAGACT